ACTATGATTCGGTTGCCAGTGAGTTTATTCAGAGACATACCCGGCCTACAGTACACAGTCATTTGAGCGCATGTCGCTCTTGCGCACTTAGTTATGACGCAGGATGAACAGCACAGCAAAACAGTTGTGCGCGTAATCAGTTAGCGGTTCCGGCGGTCTCACTCGTTTGTCCCCAAAACCTATCTCTTTTAAACCAGTCCGCATCGTTGTCGCGAGCCTTCGTTGATTAGAACTTCCACTAAACTTATGGCGCAGTAGGCGCGTGGGGGAAGGATTAACAAACGAGCCGGGATGCGCGACCAACGTACGAGCGGCTACCAGGTCAGGAGCGACGCAGCCACCGTGTACGACATGCCCGCTTAAATGATGGCCGTTGCATAAACTCACCGCATGGGTTATGTTGAAAAGTTAATGGTGGTCGATACCATTTAGAGAAATGCTACTACTCTGTCCAGTGAATTATGGCTGTGCTCTTCTAGTACTAGTACTGGCTAATGCCTTCTGGGTCGACATCGCGGCGTCCTGCACATTTTACTGATTTAGATGTGGCAAATTCCTATGTCTCTTATCTCAAAGCTAAAACACCGTACTTACATTTCACCTCGCCCTTAAGAAAAGTCGATTTGAAATCGCTTAGCCTCAGTTCTCCTGACTGAGTATTAGGAAACCGCGTCAATAAATGTTTTTCCCAAATGGCTTATGGTGCGACGCCAGCTGAACAAATCGTGAACGGCCTGTGTACTATCATCGTAACAATGCTGTGTGTGTAACCTGCTAACCGCTTAAGTATATAATAATATCATACTGAAAGGGATACCAAACCGCCACAGATAGCATCAATTATAGTGTCAACCGCGCAAGCCGGCTAACATTACAATCACATCGTGCGTAGCGTGTCCGTAAAATGCACGTGTAATGTCACTGCTGATTATGACTGGGTAAATCACTATGATAATACGAATAACATAGTATCCGCGTACAATGATACAAAATCATATTGTGCTCCCCGTCGGGAAGGACACCAGCGTCGAAGCCTGTCACTGAATCGCCTCCACAAAAATGCGATATAATACTGAAAAATCGAGATACAAATAGATTTTTGATTAATCGCGCGACTCATACGCTGACAATCCGCATATAAAAGTAAACAAATGCGCCGGTACAAAAGTTTGTACAAAATCGCGCCTTACAAAAAGTTATAATCGCGTACAACTGTTATAGTTCGCCGTATAAAAGAGACCGTGCAAACGTAAAGAAGTGAGAGAAAAAAAAATTGATTAGAGAATGAATATAATTGAGTCATAATATTAACATGAGAGACAATACCCGTTTTGCTCACTTCGCTACTACTGCCTATAAACCCTCGTTTAGCTTAGAGGGAGAGTTTGTTCCAGCCTCAATTGATAAACACAACGATAACAGCAACCCACGAACAATGCTTGAGCAATCATTACACGTTTAGGCCCCATCCAAAACCGATCGTCGTATGCGCTCGGGTAGGGAGCGACGACCCTCGAGCGAGGGGTCCGTAGTTGTGGTGGCGGTGGCAGGCGCGTCGGTCGATCGGGCAGGACTGCCAATGCTGTAGCATCTGTCGGTGAATTTTCACAGATGTGCCACGTCTTCGTCGGTCATCTTCTCATCGTCTGGATCATATGCCTTCGTAACCAGATATAATAACCTCTCTATCAAAGAGCCCTGCTCGTCTTGAATGAAAATTCCCGTTTACTCACTTATAGAGAAATTAATGTCTGAAGTATCGGCGGGTGCCTAACATACATACATACATACATACATACATACATACATTGGCTGTGAAACAAGTGTGTCGGCCTTTATTATTATAAATTTGTTCCGTGTTACGTGTAAAACAGGTAAATGGGGATGGGTGTTTTGGGCCCTAGGGGTACATTCCCAGTGAACCTTACACTGTAATGTGAGTGGCAATTTATCTAACATGGGTGACATTTTTAACCCTTGTATATAAGAATAAAATGACCACGTAGGTGCCCTCAACGGTTACAATTGAATGGCTTGCCGAGTGTATTTTGCTGCGCTGCTACACTATAGGCCCGGGCTTTGCTGGCCTCGTTAAAGTACCGTCATTTCGAAATACTCTCGCTATCGTCTCACTTTTACTTTCGTGGACCATTTTCAGCGAGTCTAGAAGAGTATCTCCCGCTCTCTCACATTAACTGGTGCGTCTAACTAGCACCTCGACTCATTCCCTTAAGACTATATGCCTTGAGTCGTTATGGCTTTATAACAGCCAACCTTGCCTCTTGCTGCAAGTAAATGCGTATATACCTGACGCATTCTTAACTACACAGACCGGTACTATTCTACGTATTTGGGTACGAATTGTGGCATTGTACGACGCAGTTTAGAAACTCGTAAGCCAGGCGGTAGTGGTGGGGGTGGTGGTTTGGGTGGGAATTATAGGTAGGAAAAGTGCTTTAGTATTTCGCTAACACACTCGTGTATTATAAAACATGCGGTTTAAAAACTAGTTTCCAGTTAAATTACGAAAATTGAAAATAGCTGCCGACACAAGATTGCTTCACTCACCCGTAATACGTATGGCAGTGTCGTTCATCCATGCGCTCTTTCTCGCTTGCACGCCAGCGGTAGACCCCTTATCCAGCTGATATCTCGGGTGCTGTCTCAGCTGCTGTGATCTGTGACATGTTATACTAATGCGTCGCAGTCAACCGTGGTATGCGTGTTATGTTATTTCGATGTTCATACTTGCGACACACGGAACAAATTTGAAGGCTGACACAGTTGTTTCACAGCCTATCTAAATGAATATACGTATGTATGTATGTTTACCCGCCTACCAGGCATTAATTTCTCTGAAGTAAGTAAACGGGTATTTTTCATTTCAAGACGAGCAGAGCTTTTTGGTAGAGAGGTGTTACATGTGGTTAACATGTTAGGATGCAGACGTTTTTTAGGCATATTTTTGCGATACCATTGTACGCGGATACCATATTACTCCTTTATGAAGAGGCGGTCATGCTCGAATTATAACGTTTGTCGCAAATTATAACGTTTTACGCGAATGACGTTTTACGCGATTTTTCACTTTTGTATGCGATTTATAACTTTTCTACGCGAATTATCACTTTCATACGCGAATTGTAACTTTTGTACGCGATTTTTCACTTTTGTACGCGATTTTTCACTTTTGTACGCGATTGTCACGTATTACCCGCAATAAAAAAAAAAAAATTATAGTACGCGATTTCTTTCCAAAATATTGTACGTAATGTTTGACTTTTATACGCGATTGTTTAGCTATTGTACGCGGTTTTAGTAGGTGATTGGTGACGGTTCGACGTGGTGTCCTTCCGAGGGGACACGATATGTTTTCCACGATTGTACGCGGATACTATGTTATTAGTATTACCATAGTGATTACCAGTATATCAGAACGATGATATTATATGTGCATTTTTACGGAGACACGATGTGATATAATGTACGTAGGGGAACCCGGGGCAAAGCGGAACACGGGGCAAAGTGGAATTGTCTCAGCAGATCTATGTTGATGCCCCCATCTATCTGTGACTGTTTTCATTAGAAGCTCAGTTGATGATGCATCGTTTTTGATAGATGCCATTTGCATGAATCAGCTATGTACATTTTTTTGGACTCACGCACGCACGCACGCACGCATGCACACTACAAGCAAGCTCGCACGCGTGCGTATACGCACCACAGGCACTTCAGAAAGTTTCAATATTAAAATGATGGTAAATAAACACGAAATGTATTGAGTACAAAAGTTGTTCTTCTCTCTCAATAGGCGATAATATTACTGATAATTTCCTGTAATGCCCTTCGAATGCTTCTCTGCAACACACTAGTATACAGCACGCACGCCTCTTCGAAATAACAAATTTATTTATTAATAATTTTACACAAACAAAATTTACGTTACACACATACGCTCTATATTATATGTTATACATTTTACAAACAAAATTCTCTGCAATTTTGTTGTTTGTGCACAGGGGCGTGCGTGTGATGTTTTTGTGTGTTGCAGAGGAGCATTTGAATGGCATTTGCAGAAAAATATCAATTATAATAGGCGAAAGAGAGTAGAGAAACATCAAGACTTTGGTAGTAAATACATTTCGTGTGTATTTACCATAATGTTATTTTTGAAACGTTTCAAGGCCCGTGTTTCAAACTCAAACGCGCACGCATGTGATCGATCACTTACACCCACGCACACTCACGCACACACAGCACGCAACCACGCCTGCATGATGCACAGGTAGGTTATGATAATAGCCTACACTTTACATTGTAAAAAAACAGCGGCGTATTCGCCTAGCTTCAGAACCTACAGATTATACCGTAAATGCGCGGCGAAGGTCGAAGTAAAATTGCCGTTCAGTGTTACGCATTGCTGATTCTGCCTACCTGCCTACCTGTGTGTCTGTGTGTCTGTCTGTCTGTCTGCCTGCCTGCCCGCCTGCCTGTCTGTCTGTCTGTCGGTCGGGCAGTCTGCCTGTCTGTCTGTCGGTCTGTCGGTCTGTCGGTCTGTCTGTCTGTCTGTCTGTCTGTCTGTCTGTCTGTCGGTCTGTCTGTGTGTCTGTGCGTGTGTGTGTCTGTCTGTCTGTCGGTCGGTCTGTCGGCCTGTCTGTCTGTCTGTCTGTCTGTCTGTCTGTCTGTCTGTCTATCTATTTATCTATCTGTCTGCATGCCTGCCTGTCTGTTTGTCTGTCTGTCTGTCTGTTTGTCGGTCGGTCTGTCTGTCTGTCTGTCTGTCGGTCGCTCTGTCGGCCTGTCTGTCTGTGTGTCTGTCAGTCCGTTCGTCCGTCTGTCAATCCATCTGTATGAATTATCTAATATCACAAGTTGTACTTTTCTGTAGCAAGCCCGGTATGGTCCGTACTATCTATTGTAACCGTATATTGGAACCGATCACTTGCATTGTAATTGTAACTATCTAGTAAAATCGCTTATTGGTCTTAATTTTTCTGTAGGAAGCCTGGAATGGTCGTCACAGCGCGTACAACCGAGGATGTGCAGAAAGCAGTTCTGTTCGCTAACGAGCACAACATCCGCATCACGGTCGCGTCGTCTGGTCACTGCTTCGTCGGCAGGCCCGCAGAGGACGGCAGTCTTCTCATCAACCTAGGAGCCATGACAGCGATGGAGATCAAGACTAATGTTCCTACTCTATCAGACACGGGAGCGATTGCCATCGTGCAGCCAGCTGTGACGAACGCCATGATTCACCCGAAGGTAGTAAACGCGTTGATAATACTATTATAGTGACCGAGTGTTGTTTGCCTTCATCGGTCAAGCAGGCGATTCCATCACCACGATGTTCAGCCAACGGTCATCGTGACCATACACGCCCACTAGCTAACGCGCGTCGTCTGGCTAGTACTAGCTTATATATCCTTAAACAAATACTTGCCAGAGTCGTGTTTTATTTTCCTTATTTACGAATATTGTTTGAATAGCGCCCACCGTTATTAGGCGGATTCGTGCGCGCCTAATGCTTGCTTGTTCAGCTCATGACTGTTCATCTTTGTATAGGCTAATGATGAAGAGTATTTGGCGGCGGCGGGAAGCTGCCCCACCGTCACGATGGGTGGCTACCTGGTAGGAGGAGGTCACGGACCGAACACCAGAAACATCGGTCTCGGCTCTGATAACGTGATCGGCGTTACCATGGTGCTTGCCAACGGCAGCATCGCTCAACTAAAGCAGGACAGCACCATCATAACAGACGTTGACGGAAAGGTAGGCTACGTGCACGCGGTTCTAGCGAGAATGACATCGTTATATGCAGGACCTGCACGTTTGCCGTAGCCTAATGTGAGATTAACTAAGACTTTACGGAAAAACGGAATCGACTTCGATTTTAGAACAAAACAAAATAATGAGCTTAATAAATAAAGTTATTAAGTATTAGTATATAAGCTCAAAATAAATGTATTAAATGAGGTAGCGATACTTTTCGCCTATAATAGTCTACTCTACGTATATGTGTGGTTTGTTTCGTGAAACGTTACAAAAAGAACATTTTAATCGCATAAGCGTGCGGCGAAGGGAGCTGCAGACCGTCCCCAATGTTCCTCGAATTAGCATTATCATAATAATAGTACATTCTGACATTTTCTGTTTGGTATATTTGCTCGAAAATGTAATAAATTCCATTAAAAGTATGAACATGCGCATACTTTTTAAATTATATCAAAATGCTGAAAGTGCTCGAATCGTAGAAACAACATGCTAACGATAAATATTTTTTTGCCAACACGTCAATGCTTCTTCATTATTAGTCAGTCGGGACAAAACTGTGCTCTCTTCCATAAGAAAAAACTCAGGCTATAGGGCTATAGTCTATAGGGCTACAGGCTATAGGTACTAGGAGCGAATGCTGAGATAAAAATGCGTGTGAGTTACAGTGAATGGATCTAAGCATGACATTCTGCGTATGCAGCGATTAGTGAAGCACCATTGATACAACAACACGATACAAAATTGATTAGTTATCGGTATCGCTCCAATATTGCTGCGCGCAGCTTTGGTGTAATGCAAAATGTACCAGTTATTTGCTGAACTACTACTATATACGTCAATCTATTGCTGCAGGAAAGTTCCAGTGATGACCCGGACTTGTTCTGGGCCATCCGCGGCGGCGGCGGTGCCTTCGGGGTCATCACCGAGTTTACAGTGAAGCTGCACAAGGCCAAGACGGGCTTCACAAGGCTCTACGCTAACTTCAAGTTCAACGATGAAGTCGAGAAGAATAAGGTGTACGCAGGCGACGTGATGGCGTTCTACTTTGACGAGGTTCTGCCAAACATGGACATGGGCTGGAGCGGGTACATTATCCCATCTGCAGGAATACGGACGCCGGTGGGATTCACGGCTGGCAGCGTGCAATTTATCTTGCTTCACAACGGCAAGGCAACCACCGCGGAACGAGAGCAGGTGATGCCCTTAACGACCTTCCGCCCCGAATGGCAAGCTTCCGTCGCCTTTACGGATTTCACCGATTTCTGGGAATATCAGAAGGACGTCAACGATCCCACGGGCTTTCCTCTCGGAATGGACAGTCGTCTGCAACAGATGGAGTTTCTCACAAACGACTTCGCACAGGAGATGTCGAAGCTAATGTACGATGGAGCGACTAGAGGGGAAGACTTTGCCCACATCTCCTGCACGATGGTGCATGTCGGAGGTACGCGCTGCGCACATGACAGTTTTACATGCATGAGAATACGTAATGTAGATCAGGCCACCAGACAGTCAACCCTGTTTACATATATTGGGTAGAAAATCCTTTATGAATGTGTATCTATGTATGTATGTATTAGACGGGCGGCGCATAAAATTCACCGATCAGCTTAACCTACCAAAACCAGGGCTCACCAGGATGTCTAACCATATGATCGCCAGTATGCTACGTATAGGGCGTCAATAATAATAATAACATGAAATTCGTCGCGTCTCTTAACACTAATAACGTGCGTGACATTACATCACATAACATTAGCGGTAACCGTTAGAAGTAGATATCGACGGAGCTAACTCGTTTCACTCGTTCGTCAAGGTCTGGCATCGGGCAACCGTAACACGACGTCGGTTAGCGACGACATGCGTGACGCGACGCTGTCATCTAGCTGCGCAGGAACATGGAACGAATATGGCGAAGAAAGCCTGCTCAAGTACGTATCTGTAATCACGTAGTATTCGTATAGAGGATGCGAGGAATGGAATTGCTAGTGAAAGAAGGAGAAGGGGAGGGAGGAGGAGTGATAAATAGGAGAGAGACAAGAACGAGGAGAGAGAAAGAAGAGAGAAAGAAGAGAGAAAGAAAGAGTAGAGAGGAGAAAGCAGTAAGAGCACAGAGAGAGAAAAAGAGGAGAAAGCGAGGAAAGAGCGTGAACGAGGGGGGAAAAGAGAGGGCGAAGGGGGATAGAGGAGCGAGAGGGGGAGACAGTTTGTGGGGAGAGACAGAAGAGTAAGATAACGAAAAAGGGTTTTATAAACAGCCAAGGGAGAAGAAAATGTTATTCAAAATCAGAATTTAAAACTGCGAATAGAAGGAGAACATAGCAGTAACCGGTATTACCTTATAGTGACCGCCATTGAACTCAATTAACGACGGAAACGAGTTGTTCCTTACCCATTGATATAATTATTAAGTACATGTGTTTTTTCCCGATACAAAATACCAAGAAATAGGATGTCTAGATAGAAAGCATAGCGTGCATGATATTCCCATCTCAATCTTGGTCTGCAGCTTCCTCAAGGATGAGTGGAACCCCATGATGAGCAAATATGGCCGTGGTGTGTACTACAACGAACCGGGATTCGAACTCCCGAACTACGCTGACGATTTCTGGGGACCAAAGTACGATCGTTTACTCGAGATCAAGAAGAAACATGATCCCAATAACGTGTTCAATTGTAAACAATGCGTTGGCTGGGAGAAGGTAGCAACCGGCAGTGGGCGACAACTGTACTATACATGTAGCTCACTCTTGCTGACGGCTCTCATAACAGCGCATTTAATCTAAAATAGAATATTCCTAGTCGACAGGTAAATTTCTGTTACTCTGTAGAAGCGGTTGGGGATAATATGTTCATAGATTAGTGTTGTGTAGTATGGTTGCGAAGGAGTGCGTGTGTTGAATCAACATTATTAGTAGTTATCAGTAGCAGCAAGTCACATACACACACAGAAAATCCATCTTGACGTGATGCGGCCATTTAATTATTGTATAAGCGTCCTATAATGGCATTTTTCTTTCATATTTTAGGCAAAATGGTACGCAACTATGAATTTGATGTTCAGAGTTAGACACTGAAAGAGGACGCAACATTTTGGACACAATATACATGGAGTGCCCATAACAGGTTTCACTTTGCCTCGGGAGTCTGGGTCAAAATAAAATATTTATAAATTTTATAATTTTGTATATTTCAATAAAGTCGTTTTTTAAATTAACTTTGTTTGTACCGCCTGTTAGTTCTTGTCCTAAGCCAAAGGATTAGAGCCAAACATTTCACTTTGTCTCGCTTTTTCACAGCGTTTTGGCCAACCAAATTTCTTCGGTCCACTTTGCCCCGGGTTCCCCTATATATGTGTGATATATGTGTGTATATAATGTTACGGTTGCGGGTTGACTATAATTATGCTATTTTGCGGTTGTGGTTATGTTATCAGTATAGTACGATTATAATAATCTCTAGAATATTATGGTCATTTTTAATTTAAAAATAAATATAAATATAAATACATTTTGAGCGGCGACGGCGCCCTTCAGACCGGCACCAGACCGCTTATCCCCGACTGGGCCCCTTACCCGGAACGCTTTATCTCAAAAGCTGCATATTCCGGAATAAGTCGGTTTCCGATCTTCAAATTGCTGTAGATCGGTCAATTCTCTAGATATAGCCAAATATTATATATCATTTTAAAGGTAATTATGTGATCTATTTAGATATTCACATAACTCAATTTGTAGAATTTCCTACTTAATCCTGGTTTTGCTGGAGCGGGTCACTATACTTACGGTTACAGTTACAGTTACGGTTGTTTAGCGGTTACAGTTACAATCAGACATGTCACGATGATAGTACAGCTCTTCACATTGTCCGTGACTCACATAAGCCATCCGCTCAAAAATTCATCGAGGGTTTTCTTCCAGTCGGGATAATGGGCTAAGCCGATTTCATCGACTTTTCTTAGGGCGTGGTGAAATGTAGTACGGTGTTTTAGCTTTGAGATAGAGACATGGGGAATTTGGCACATTAATCGGGCAAATCGGCAGGGACGGCCGGCGATGGACCCAGAAGACATTAGCTACATACTTAAGAGCACATATAATTCAGCGTGGACAGAAGGCATTTCAAAATGGTACGAACACATTAACTTCAACAAGAATGCGGCGGAGTTTATCAAACGGCCATCATACAGCGGGCAACGTACAAGGTGCTCGCCGCTCCTACCTGGTACCGTCGTACGTTGGTCGCAACCGGTCGTTGTACCCACGACCCGCGCCTCAAATTAGTGCAAGTCTAAACAGGTCGGACGACGATGCGGACGGTTTAAAAAAGAGGGGTTTTGGTGACAACGGGAGAGACACCGGCGTCCGCTAACGAGTACGCGCACACTGTTTCGAATTCGAATTCAAATTCAAATTCAAATTCAAATTCAAATACAAAAATGTTTATTCACGCATTACAATATACATAAATAACATAATTTCGACATGCACTGTATGCTTGCATTCGGTAGTTGCTGATCACCCCTTTCAACATTGACCATCTTGACATACTTCTGTTCAACTCGTTATCATAGGTGTGTTGTGTTAACATGCCCTTTTGGTCGTGAAACAGGATCATATACCTCGTCTGGTGATAGCGCCATTCTCACTTTCGAAACAATCCATGTAGCTGTGTGTATACAAGAATTATCGCCAATATCTACATATATATATTGTATATATATATACAAACAAATATATATATTTATATTAAGCTGGCATCCTTGTATGTGTACGACAGATGAGAGAATGGTTGCTAAGATAGTTCTAGTGGCGATCGCCGTGATGGTATGTATGGTGAGCGGTAAAGACTACTGCATGCCTCACCAATCGTGCTGGCCGAATGCGGAAACCATAGAGAAGTTCGGCAAATCTCTCTCTCCAAAAGCAAATGTTCTGACTCCAGACCTGGGCCCGTGGTTTTGGCTAGCGTGTACAATGAAGAACACATATCAGCAAAGGTTAGTCACGAAGTAGACCGTTCCTACCGAGTACCAGATATAAGGCTATAGGATTTATAATGATGTTGTAAATACTGTAACCGCTTAAGTATATAATAATATCATACTGAAAACATAACCACAACCGCACAATAGCATAATTATAGTCAACCCGCAACCGTAACATTACATCACATCGTGTGTCCGTAAAAATGCACGTGTAATGTCATCGTTCTGATATACTGGTAATCACTATAGTAATACTAATAACATAGTATCCGCGTACAATCGTAAAAATCATATTGTGTCCCCTCGGAAGGACACCACGTCGAACCGTCACCAATCGCCTACCACAAAAATGCGTATAATAACTGAAAAATCGAGTACAATATTTTTTTTAATCGCGGATAATACGTGACAATCGCATATAAAAGTAAAAAATCGCGTACAAAAGTTACAAATCGCGTACAAAAGTTATAAATCGCGTACAAAAGTTATAGTTCGCGTATAAAAGAACGTGAAAACGTGAAAAAGTGAAGAAAAAAAAATTGATAGAGAATGAATATTTGACCATAATTTACATGAGAGAAATACCCGTTTGCTCACTTCGCTACTACTGCCATAACCCGTTAGCTTGAGAGGGGAGAGGTTTGTCCAGCTCAATGATTAAACCACGATAACCAGCAACCAACGAACCAACTTAGCAACCATTCACGTAGGCCCCCTCCAAACCGACGTCGTATGCGCTCGAGCGCGACCTCGGCGAAGGGGTCCGCGTGGTGTGGTGGCGGTGGAGGCGGTCGGTCGTCGGGCAGACTGCATTGTAGCATCTGTCGGTGTAATTCTTCCAGATGCTGCACGTCTTCCGGGTCATTGTCCTCATCGTCTGGATCATATGCTCGTAACCAGATATAATACCTCTCTATCAAAGAGCCCTGCTCGTCTTGAAATGAAAAATACCCGTTTACTCACTTTAGAGAAATTAATGTCTGGTAGGCGGTGAAACATACATACATACATACATTCATTTAGATAGGTTGGTGAAACAACTGTGTCGGCCTTCATTATTATAAATTTATTCCGTGTTTCGCAAGTATGAACATCAACATAACAAAACATGCACTTTTAAGAATAAAACAGGTAAATGGGGATGGGTGTTTTGGGCCCTAGGGGAACATTCCCAGTGAACCTTACACTGTAATGTGAGTGGCAATTTATCTAACATGGGTGACATTTTTAACCCCTGTATATAAGAATAAAATGACCACGTAGGTGCCCTCAACGGTTACAATTGAATGGCGTGCCGAGTGTATTTCGCTGCGCTGCTACACTATAGGCCCCGGGCTCTGCTGGCCTCGTTAAAGTACCGTCATTTCGAAATACTCTCGATATCGTCTTACTTTTACTTTCGTGGACCATTTTCAGCGAGGGTAGGGGAGTATCTCCCGCTCTCTCACATTAACTGGTGCGTTTAACTAGCACCTCGACTCATTCCCTTAAGACTATATACCTTGAGTCGTCATGGCTTCATAACAGCCAACCTTGCCTCCTGCGGCACGTAAATGCGTATATACCTGACGCATTCTTAACTACACAGATTGGTACTATTCTACGTATTTAGGTACGAATTGGGGCATTGTACGACGCAGTTTAGAAACTCGTAAGCCAGGCGGAGGTGGTGGGGGTGGTGGTCTGGGTGGAAATTATAGGTAGGAAAAGTGCTTTAGTATTTCGCTAACACACTCGTGTATTGTAAAACATGCAGTTTGAAAACTAGTTTCCAGTTTAATTACGAAAATTGAGAATAGCTGCCGACACAAGATTGCTTCACTCACCCGTAATACGTATTGCAGTGTCGTTCATCCATTGCGCTCTTTCTCGTTTGCTCGCCAGCGGTAGACCCTTTATCTAGCTGATATATCGGGTGCTGTCTTAGCTGCTGTGATCTGTGACATGTTGTACTAATGCGTCGCAGTCAACCGTGGTATGCGTGTTATGTTATTTCGATGTTCATACTTGCGAAACACGGAACAAATTTGAAGGCCGACACAGTTGTTTCACAGCCTATCTGAATGAATATACGTATGTATGTATGTTTCACCGCCTACCAGGCATTAATTTCTCTGAAGTGAGTAAACGGGTATTTTTCATTTCAAGACGAGCAGAGCATTTTGGTAGAGAGGTGTTACATGTGGTTAACATGTTAGGATGCAGACGTTTTTTTGAACATATTTTTGTTTACGATTGTACGCGAATACCATATTGTAACATCTGTTTTACACATGTCGGATTGAATTTGTAATTGTAGATAGATTTAGTTGTACATAGAAGAAGGGTTCGGCGTTTAGCATACAGATGAGAAATAGCAAGGTTGGGACTAGTAGACGCCGTACACATCTGCGAGACAGATGTGCCTTTCGCGCGTAATTATTCGAATAGAGAGAGAGTGGTGGTGTGTGATTGGTTGGAGTAGAAAGGCGTTTGCCAGTGATTGGACGAGAGAGTGATATATAAGTATCTGGAGCGCATTTGAAGGTACGGTTGGAACTGGAAGACGTACGTGACGTGAGGACTGTTTGGGGTTTGTAAACAATATATTTCTTTAGTGAACACAAAACTATACTTCTTCTTGATTATTTCTACTCTAAATTATTACATACAAACTACGTTCTTACATTTGGTGCACGTGACAACGGACTGGGTTATGCAAAACAACGTAAGGTACACGCTAGTATAATATCATCACCGGCTGTAACGATGGAGAGGAAGAAGCGACGAAGCAAAGAAGAACGGAACAATAACGCAACTTACAAGGAACAAGAGCTGAACGAGACGAAAATACGTAAACGGTGAGTGAAACAAACTGTGTCGGCATAAAGTTAAAAACCACAGCGTGTAATATACAAGGTAATAGTGAAATACTGTATATATACATGCACCATATTTCTTATCCTTTATCCAAAAGGTGCATGTTATGTTATTGAGATACTTAAGGC